CTCTAGTTAACTACAGTGTAACTCTAGTTAACTACAGTTTAACTCTAGTTAACTCCAGTGTAACTCTAGTTAACTACAGTTTAACTCTAGTTAACTACAGTGTAACTACAGTTAACTCCAGTGTAACTCCAGTTAACCGCAGTTTAACTCTAGTTAACTCCAGTGTAACTCTAGTTAAACAACGAGAACGTCACCAACGACTCCACTTAATGTCAAGTTAAACTCACCCCTCCCCAGTTCAGAGTCCTTGCAAGGTCGTTGCCGGTCCCCAGAGGAAGGATGGCCACAGGAGGCTGAGGACAAAGACTGAACTGGTCCAAAACTGACAAGATCCATCCAACCTGAACACACACACACACACACACACACACACACACACACACACACACACACACAAATGTAAAACATAACAAATGAGAAATAGAGAGAGAGAAGAGAGAGATACAAAATGTTTTTTTATTCTTTTTAAATGTGAAATGTTTTCATGTTGGACGACGCGGGACTCACCGTCCCGTCTCCTCCACAGGCCAGGATCCTCAGGTTGGGCACTTGGCCGTACAGCTCCAGTCTGCAGGAAACAGACATTTATCTCACAGACTTTCAGCCGCACGTTTCACCGCTGAACGGAAATGAAATGTGTTCATTGCTGACAGATTATATTTTTTATATTTATAATATCTGTGGTGATTTAAAGAAGAAAACCGTTTGTTGAAAGAAAAGCTCTGAATGATGAATGTTTTTTTAGAGAGTAAAGCTTCTGTTATTGTTCCAGGATCATTTTACATCTGCAACATCTTGTCACATTTCTGAAGACCTGTGTTGTCCCGTCGCTCCTCCTCCACACAGGAAACTGGACACGAGGAGCGAGGGATAATCAGGGGAAGTAGAAGCCCTGGGGTGAGTGAAGCCAGTCTTACCCCTCTCTGGGTCCAGCCTTTGTCAGGTCAAACACCTGCCGAGGGTTCAGGTACCACATGAAGGACTGCAGGATCTTTGCTCCCTGTAAGAAAGAAACACCTGAGATCCAAATCTTCACTGAAGCACAAACGTGTTTGAATTCAAACAAAACTGTGTTTTTCAGTCTGCGATTATTTGTCTTGAAAATGTATATCTTTGCTTTAAAGTTTAAAAAGCAACACGAGTCTGATCTCGTCACATTTACGTTGGATGAGGAAAATACGACACAAAGCAAACACAGGTTGTGTCCGAGCTCAGACGTACAACTCCTTCCAGATGTTCCAGATGTTCCAGATTAAAGAACCTGAAACATCAACAGAACAGATGAGTTCACTGGTTCCTGTTTGCATTAAGGAGGTTCTGCTCTGTCTCAGGACCACACTGAACTTCTCAACTTCACTGTTGTTGAACCTGTAGTTTGTGTAATTACAGATGGTGTTTGTTGTACAGTTAACGTCTGTGGCGGCTCATTCTGACCCCCTTAATGTGGGGCGGAGCTTCTGAAGGAGCAGTGATTCATTGAATTGGTTCAGTGTTTGATTTGTATAAATTCAGTTGATCTCATTAAACCCGCAGCTTTTTATTTTTCCTTCTGACTGATGACGATTAGCGCGGAGGTGACGTACCTGGTTTCCGCCGCTCTTTGGGTTAACGAACACCAGCAGAGGCTTCATGAGCTGAGACGGCAGAGGCTTCACCAGGAAGGGCTTCCAGCGGCCATCTTGGAGCTGAGAGACACAGTAGAAACATCATCGACATTTGAACCTCATGAACAGTGGTGGGTCACATGTGCAGGTTCTCACCTCAGATCCCTTCTTACTCGACTTGTTGCTTTTCAGGGACGTTCTTTTCTTCTTCTTACTGGACTTCAGAGACGTCTGCAGAAGGACGACACACACGACATGAGAGTGTGTCGCTCTGTGTGGACTTTCACACCTGGTTATAGGATGTGAAGCTAACTGACACCAACAACCCACAACCAGGAAGTGAGTTAAAGACCGACTGGGACTCTGTGATTATGCCACTGGTTGAAGGTGTGTGTGTGTGTGTGTGTGTGTGTGTGTGTGTGTGTGTGTGTACCTGTGGGCGGCGGCCCCTGATGATCCAGGTTGGAGGGATGATGACGGAAGCGTGAGCTCCCAGAGAGCAACACTCCTCTATATGCTGCAGCATGAAGCACGTCACCTTGTTGTGATACTGAAAGAGTGAGAGAGAGTGAGAGAGAGTGAGAGAGAGAGAGAGAGAGAGAGAGAGAATATGAAGTGAAAAGTAAATTCAAATATTTTTGTTATAGACTTTTGGTTTCGTGGAGATTTATTTTCTGAATAGAGATGCTCAGTATTACGATCTATTAGCAGCTCCTTGTTTCCCTGGTAACAAATGATAAATCATTGGACGGGGGTCGTGCAACATTAAGAGTGGGTGTGTCTGCACGCCACTGCTGAACAACGACCGAAGCATCGGACAGAAAACCCTGAACCCTCAGGGGTCAGAGGTCATCAGCCTCCATCCTGACTTACCGCCTGTTTGCACCACGAGCAGCTGATTGCAACGATCTCTTTGCTGTGAAATGAAAACTTCTGCTGGAATCCCTGAAGGTGAGAAAAGAGACGGAGTCAGATCCGGATTCTTTGAGCCAAGTTGACAGTTAAGAGTTTGGAGTCTCACCTTCCCGCACTGTCGACACTTCCCTGTCTGACGCCTCCTGTGGACCCAGTGATGTCGCACAACGTTGGACTGAAACACAAACCATTCACTGACTCTGTTTCACTTTGTGAATATTTCAGATTTATTTCAATCATCTCTTTCACAGGCGACACAAACACCGACCTCTCGAACAGCTCGACATCCTGGTTCTCTGAACGAAGGCTTGCACCTGAAATTAATCTGATCATAAAGAGAAGAAAGAGTGAGGAGAGAATAATCTCAGATTGACTAATCCACAGATGATCCAGAGTTTACCTTGTCCAGCTGCTCCATACACATGGTGTGGACTGAAATCTTACATCCAGCACACTTCTTCCTCGATACAGACTTTTGCTGCTTAAAAAAAGAACTGATTGTGTTATACAGTTTTATTAGAGGACTACGTAGGTACCTGTTTGCAGTGTTTACAGTTTCCATGACTCACCAGTGATTTAGCGACGCAGTACTGCTCCCCAACATAACAGAAGTCTCCAGACCCGCTGGTCTCGAACCAGATGTGTTCCCCAAACTGTGCGTTTTCCTGGGATGGGCGAGAAACTGTGATTGGTGAATATGAGACTACACAAATAAAACTTGATTGATTGATTGATTGACATGTCATCTGATCTGTTTACTTTCACTTTGTAATTTAGGGACTTAAGAACTTTACATCCTGTCATCATCACCTATGTGGGCGTCGTCTACCTATACTTGACTTTGATTGGTTTGTAGATGGAGTCTGATGTGGGCGTGTTTTCAGTTGGGGGGGTAGTAGTCTTTCTGTTTGAACGGAGGAAATGATCTGGTTGCCATGGTAACATCATGACGGCATCACTATCAGCATCAGCACCTTCAGGTTCAGTAGTTTTTACTTTTTTACTTTTTAGTATTTTTGTACTCGTGTATGTTTGCTTTGTGAAGGAGTGGCTCTATAATGTCATTGTACACCCTGTTCAATGACATTAAAGATTCTTATCTATCTCAGTACTCCGCAGTACTCCACAGTACTACAGTACTCCACAGTACTACAGTACTCCACAGTTGCTCCACAGTACTACAGTACTCCACAGTACTACAGTACTCCACAGTTACTCCACAGTACTACAGTACTCCACAGTACTACAGTACTCCACAGTACTCCACAGTACTACAGTACTCCACAGTACTACAGTACTCCACAGTACTCCACACTCTTTCAAATGCACCAGATGAACGTCCTCGTGGTTCAAACATTATATCGTCGGAGATGAAGACTGCAGCTGCTTCCTCTTCTTCTTCTATTGTTTAATGTGTCTCCCTTTAATTGGTCCACAAGTCCAAAATATGCAAACAAGTGTTTTCACTGTGAACCAACAGGTTCAGGTTGATCCAGACCCAGAACTCCTCTTCTGGTCTGAGGAACCTTCACACCTGATGTTCAGCTTCAGACTGAAGTGACGAGTCTGAAGCTCCTGAACAAACCAGGTGTGAGCGAGTCCTCGTTCAGACTCTATCGCTGTTTGATGCTTTTYAACTGGAGCGTTTAATTGGCTCCATCCTGTTTGTTGTTATTCAGTGAAAACAAACATGGTGGCGCTGTGTGCGCTCTCACACGAGTCCTTCAGACAGTGTTCTCTTCAACAACACAGTTTACTTTGAAACTGCTGCAACATGTGATTTGAAGAAAGCGTTTCTGTCTCTCTGCAGGTTTGAGATTTTATACTGTTTGTTGAAACTTTTGAATAAATAACGTTTTAAACAGTGTTTTAATGGCAGCATCATAAATCCTTTCTCTCCCTGCTCATGCTGATTCTGCTCAGTTAGTGTTTCACCCTCTGAACAACTTCATCATCATTTGGTTAAAAGTTGGAAAGTGACTCACGCTCCAGTCGACGGTGCTGCTGGGCTCCCTCGGCGGGTCGCTCTGTGCAGATGAGGACACGTTGGGCTGAGGGGCCACGTGCTGGAGGCCCGACTTCGCAATAGCTTTCCTGAAAAGAGGACAAACAACTTGTGAAGAAAACAGATTCATTTGTTTTCATCAAAACATCAGTCCGAGGAGTTTTTAATATTAGTTTCAGCTGTAAGAACCTGGATACGTCTTCATTTTGTTCAGTGATCGATTCATTTCGCTGATTTAAATGATCAGTGTAGTCACCACTGTCGTTGCTATGGTGACCTGCAGCCTCATAAAAATGAAGCATTGATAAAACAGTTTTACATTTAAATTGATTAAACCGTTAAAATAAAATTGTGAACCTTTTCTTCAGCTCGTTTGTTTCATTATTTCCCTCAAAACAATATTTCAACGTATTAAAAAACGTTTTTTAAAATGATAGATGTGAGAAGTTTCTGTATTTTTCTCAGTAACAAGCTGAACTAACTGAGCCGGACTACATACAGCAGGAAGGCACTCCAGCTCTCCAGGTGGGAGTTGTTGGCCCCCATTGGACTGAGGGCTCCGGGGCCCCTGTAGAAGGCCTGGTGGTTGAGGTAGTAGACTGAAGTCCTGCAGCTGGTCGGTGGGGGGCCTCTTCCAGGCCCAGTTTTGGATATGGTGGAGATCCTCCTCCTCTTCCTCTGGCTGGAGGCGCGGTGGCGGCTGTAAGGAGCAGTGTCTCCTGCAAACACCTGAGAGGAGTTCCTCCGGAGGCAGAGAGGGGCCCGGATCAGGGGCCGCGATGCCGGGGTAAGCTGGGGCGTCTTTCTCATCACCTCCAGGACGGTTGAGGACAGAGACAACTGTGGATCAAGGGACCAGGAGACATCGTCCACCTCGTCCAGCTGCTCCACATCTGACAGCTGACTGGATTCTGATTGGCTGTCGTTGGCAGCGAAGTAATCGCCCCCCTCATCGTCACCGTCTGATTGGAGACTGCTGGAGCGGGAAAAGATCCTACTGTTGTTGGCCCCTCCCCTCACCTCCACCTGCTGCTCCCCGGCAGGTAGCCCCGCCCCCAGTCCTTCCTCCTCCTCCTCAGTCATCTGGATCAGACTGGCAAGCAACATGGAAGGCCCCAGAAGGTGAGTGTCGATGGTTCGCAGCTTCCCACACTTCCTGCGACGCACGGCGAACCTCGGGTTGAGGCTTGGGGTGGTGGTGCTGGAGCGCCTGCGAGCTTGCCCCGCCCACCCAGTATTCCTGGATGACTTTGCCAAACACCCCCTGTCTGCACACGGTAGCCCGGTCTGCAGCTGGACGCTGGACCGCCGCCGCTGGGTCAGGGTGGAGGAAGGAAGCCCAACACTGGACCTGCGGCGGGCCCTACTGGTCGGCACCGCAACGCTGGGCCTCCGCTGGCGGCAGGATTTAGCCTCTGCATCCATCTGAAGAACAGCTTCCTTCCTCTTAAAGTGACGCCGGAAGAATGTGTCCATGTTGGGCAGAGACAGGGGACGGACCCCTGAAACAATCGTCAGTGGCTGTTGGATGTAAAACCCAGTTAGCTTTACAGCTAGAAGCTACATGTTTGTGCCACACCCCTAATAGGATCCCCCCCCCGCCCCCCCCCTCTCTGACTGTCATCAGTGAAAATACCAAAACATCGTCAGCCTCCGATTCACAAATCTGAGAACTGGTAAAACAAGCAGCGTCCCCTAAAATCATATCCAAGATAACCTGGAAACAACTGACCCTGTTCTTATCTTTAATAATTGATATGAACAAAAATGTCTTAAATTGAGTTTGAATGATCAGGAGGAGTTTAAGCCGAATCCACAGACCAGCTGTCAGTCACAGTTCCTCCACTAAACGTTCTTGTACCACTTTGACCTTCAGGGAGTCGTTAATGATTCATCGTGATTCCTACAGAGACAGAACGCAAAGCTTCTTCTTCTGCCTGTTCGTTGAACAGCCATCGACTCATGTTCTGGATCCATGGGATTTATTGTGTTTGTTGAAACACAAAGACTTTTTGTTCGCAGCCGTCGGTCAAACACAAACACGTGAAAGAATCATGGTTCAAAAATCACACCACAAAATGAAATGTAATATTTGTTTTTGCTAAACGGCTTCTGATTAATAACTACCTGACATTTTAAACTCTGCTCACAATCTGCAGAGAGCAATAATTCCACATATCAGTTATCCTGAGCTGACCTGCAAACATCTTGAGTTTTAATTGAATGAGCAGCTACAGTTAAATCCCTGGTTTCACGTGTCAGGATCCTCATGGATGATGTGTGAGCGTCAACTGTCCCACAAAAAACACAGAGCAGAGCTGGAAACTGGATTTCACATCTGGTTTCAGATCTCATGGCAGCTTGTCACCAGATTTCAGGTTCACAGGAGGTTTACAGAGGATCCACATTTCAGAACACGAGAAGAAAGGAAGCAGACGTCCAGGAACATGAATTATAAAACAGTCAGAGGAAGAGTTGGGTCGTCTCCACAGGGGGAGCAGCAGGACAACAGGAAACAGTCGTCAGTGACATCAGCTGTAATTCAGTCTACCAGTCTTTGACCACACCGCTGCACCTACAGCACAGACAGTTAGTCAGTCAGTTAGTCAGTTGTTCAGTCTATAAACAGTCTTCAGATGTCGAGTTGTGTCCAACCAACAGTTCGAAACACAACAGACTCACTTTACTGTGACAGAAGGTTTAAGACTGGTTTAGCTTGATCCAACGTTTTGCTCTGACTAAGTTTTGATGCGTTGGTCTGGACCGTGGTCCGAGGAACCTCCACAGCTGATATTTGACTTTCCTCAGGTGTCACCGTGCAACAGGCGAAGTGACTGCAGATGTGATCAGGCCTCAGTTTGACTGCACCTACAAGTGTCCAGTATATTTCCTCGGAGCTCGCTCTTTGTCCAGTGACCTCAGCTCAGCTGCAGGATGAGATGCTCGAGAACAAGACAAGGAAACTGAAGCTCTGATTATCACCAGGGAGAGTGAGCAGCAGATTAGTGACACACTGCAGAGCGGACCTCTATTTATAGAGCTTCCTCCTCTTTACACCTGTCTGACCAGCAGCCAATCACAGAGCTCAGGTGACCCTCTGGTCAGAGGCTCACAACGCTCACTGTCCAATCATAACCTGGCAACCTGATGCTGAGCAACACGTCCTCCAATCACTGACTTAACGACACACCTCCACAGTGAATCACAAACATCACACAATACAACACTGTGCAGTGAGAAGCAACAAGAGCTGTCTTCACCAAACTGAACAATGTTCCTCACATGTTCCTGACATGTTCCTCACATGTTCCTGACATGTTCCTGACATGTTCCTCACATGTTCCTCACATGTTCCTCACATGTTCCTGACATGTTCCTCACATGTTCCTCACATGTAAAAACTACCAGAGGAGACGTTTTCTATACAAACTACCGGAGGAGTCGTCCAAACCCAAAGAGAATAATTCACAGTTTTTATTAAT